AGCACTCCAGAAGTTTTAGGCCATTACATATGCTCTTTCTGGACGAGCAAAGCAATCCCTCCATTTGGTCCTTTTTGCCCAATGGACTTTTCCCTTCTTCTCTGTACCCAGGATGCCCAGATGGCAGGAGGTGCCCAGAACCCAGGGCAGCAAGGACGAGCAGGCCCCTGGGTATCTGGTGGTCGAGCCACCTGAGGCCAGGCTCTGCTTGAGCTGGGATCCAGGCTTCTGATTCCCAATGAGTTATTCCAGTTTGGTCTCATAGGGACCACTGTTTTTATGTACATTTAAAAAGACTACAGAGGTGCTAAAGGTCTGGGTCTTTGGGACCCTAGTCATTTCTTTACTGGCTCAGCTGTCACCTCTTCTGTCACCTCTTCTGTCACCCAGTATGGCTGGGTTGATGTGATTTATCTTTCTTAAAAACAGTGTGTGCTGTGAAGGCGAATTTAGTAATGCTTTTCTTTCTTAACATATTTGTCGGGTTTTTTTTTGTCTCTTTACCCCTGTTTTGTTGCAAATCTCCTCCCAGTTGGATTCTGGTTGTCCCAGAAGTCCCATGGAGGGAAGGGACTTTTCTTTGAGGTGATTATGTGCTTTAAATTAGGAGTTGATTTGGGGATTCCACAGCCAGCCCGTTGGTCATCAGTGCAGCATACTGTCCTCTGGAAAGAGGTGATAAATGAACTGTAGACAGAAAGACTGAGGCTAAGAGACGATGTCCCTGGCTCATTGGGAGGTCACTGTCCTGTCACTTTGTCCCTGCGTCATTTCAACCCCAAGCCAGGCATCCTGGCAGAGTCTCAGTTTTCTCTTGTAAATCTCCAGGACCTTCTAAAAACCAAAGCAGCTCTGCATTGCCTGTAGGCCAAATTGCAAGCCCTCAGCTTGGGTTCCCACCCCCCGCCATCCTACCTTTCCCACAGCGTGCCCCAGCCCCCGAAAATCCCCGGCGTCCCCGTGTGCCAGGCCCCCATCCCCAGGCCTCCGCGGCTTTGCACACTCTTTTCTGACCTCTCTTTCCCCTGTTGAATTTGGTGGATGGCCCTTCCCAATAACTCAAATGGTTCCTCTTCTGAAAAGGTTCCGTGTGTCCCACCAATAGGGTGGTCACTGCCTTGCTATGCCCCCTGGCAAGGACCCTCCACCACATCATCATCATGCATACTGGCTCTTTCCTGCCTCGGGCTCTGAGCATCTTGGGAGAAGGGTCCTCGCCTGCCCACCTGTGTCCTCAGCAGCACCCAGTGTGGGAGCCGGGCAGAGCTTGCTGGATGACGCGTGGTCCAGGGTGAGCACAGCAGAGGGCATCGCGGTGCCCTGACGCCTCAGGGACCAGAGGGGCTGCCCGGCCACTGGGTTTTGGCCTCGCCTGTTTCCCAGCATCTCCTGTGAGATCTCCGTGTCTGCTGCGTTGCACCACCGGTGTTTGAGCAGAAGGGGTCTCTCCAGGCGCAGAACACAGGCTCCCAGCGCTGAAGTCAGGAAGGCTGCCAGAGGGGCATCCTCTAGTGAGGAGCAAAAGCCAGGTTTCCTGGACATTCCGGGCTTCACTGCTACACCAGGAGGAACTCTGCACCTCTCCTTTCTCCAAAGAAAGTAATCTAAATTTGGCTGGAAGGGATGCTGCGAGACCCTTCCCCACAGAAAACCAGCTTCTCGCCTCCCTCCTAGCCCTAAACTCACCTGTCCTTTTCGTGAAAATAAAGTACACAGAGGAGTTTCTCTCTCTCTTTTTATTTTTACATTTTAATTGTATTTATGATGGCAATAATCATGTACTATAACCCCCAGATGGGGTGAGGTAAACGTAAATTAGACTACATGATTTTTTAAATTGAAGAATAGTTGATTTATAATGTGTTAATTTCTGCTGTACAGCAAAGTGATCCAGTTAGACATATATGTACATTCTTTTTAAAAATATTATTTTCCATTATGGTTTATCATAGGGTATTGAATATAGTTCCCTGTGCTGTGCGGTAGGACCTTGTTGTTTATCCATCCTTTATATAATAGCTTACATCTGTTAAGAAGTTTCTCTTTATAACAACATATGTGTGTGTGTGTGTGTGTGTGTGTGTGTGTGTAACAGGTATCATTGAGAATTTCTTCCTGAACTGAATTTTTCTCCTATTGTCACAAGTTAACATCAAGAATCAGAATACTAAGAGTTTATAGGAAGAGCTAATTGTATATTTTAGATCCATAACATAATTTATTTTGTTGTGGTATGCCGACTGCCCGAACACTGTTTACTTGTTTCTTTTCCCGTTAATTTGGCATTTCATTTTCATATTCTACTTCCCCACAATGAGATATCACCTCACATCTGTCAGGATGGCTGTTTAAAAAAAAAGACAGCAAGAGTTGGCGAGGTTGTGGAGAAATTGGCAGCCTCGTGCAGTGTTGGTGGGAATGCAAAAGGGTGCAGCTGCTATGGAAAACCGTATGGAAGTACCTCAAAAATTAAAAATAGAACTAACATATGATCCAACAATCCTACTTCTGGGCATTTACCCAAAAGAATTGAAATCAGGATCTTGAAGAAATATCTGCAGAGTCCCACGTTCATTGCGGCACTTTTTACAGTAGCCAAGATATGGAAACAACCTAAAGGTCCATTGACAGATGAGTGGATAAGGAAAATGTGGTACATATGTATATACAATGGAGTACTATTCAGCCTTTAAAAAGAAGGAAATTTTGCCATTTAACACCTTGGATGAACCTGGAGGACGGTGTGCTAAGTAAAATAAGCCAGTCAAGCAGGAGTTAATCGAGTTTTAAATCGCAGTGAGCATCTTCTTAGTTACTGCTTTTTACCAGTTCCCTGCGTGTCTGGTAACTTCTATTGCTGGGAGCTAACTCGTTTTGGATTCTCTCTCCCACCTGAGAGTGGGAAGAGGAGCTCGGTCCAGCTAACAAGACTGTAGCCTGCATGTATTCTTCCTCTGATGCCACGTCCAGTTGAGTTGAGGGTAGAGAACATCGGCTCTGTGTTACAGGGTGGACAAGTGTGCCCAGAGGGTCAGAACACCAGAGAGCTCCTGGGCCACCCTCTGCCTCCAAGCCTGCTTCCTCATCACATCTCTAGGAGTCCTAACCAGCCTTCCTGCTACAAAGGCTCCAAGAACCCTGAGCAAGGGCAGAGCTGAGGGGAGAACCCACGGGTCTTGGCTTTCATGCCTGCCATCCATGATGTGCTGTGTCTCTCTCAAGAGTCAACAGAAATGGCTTAAATGTCACTGAACTCGAGGTGTTCTTAAGGACCACCAACCACTTCTTTTCATTGATCAGAAGATGTCTTGAGAGGTGAAGTCTTGATTTGTCTAGTAGAGTCTATGAGAATCTTAGGTTAGCATAAAATATGCACTTGAAGGTGCCTGGGAGGGCATGTCCTTGGACCCATTCTCCAGATGAAGAAACTGAGGCACAGAGAAGTCACTCTTGGTTGACCAGGAATGGGAACCTAATAGGAACCTATTATATATAACCTAATAATTATTAAATCTATCTCCTATTTATTGAGCATTTACTCTGTGTCAGGCTCAGAGTGAAGCAGTTGACATTTCTCTTCCCAGTGCTCCAGGGGCCCCGCGGGGTGGTTTGGAAGGTAGTGGGATGTCTGATTGAGTCCAGGCTCCCAACCACACCACCCAGATTCCAGCCTGGTCCTGCCCGTTACCAGCTGTGACGGTTTCTAACTTTCTCTGGGCCTCTGTTTTCTCATGTGTATGAGGTGGATAATCATAGCACAGAAATCAGAGGGCTTTGGGGAGGATGAAATGGGTTAACACATGCCAAACCCTACAGCCTGCCGCTTAGTAAGTCATCCAAAAATGTTACTTTGCATCCATGTTGTATAGAAAGGAAAAGGGAGTCAGGGGGTTAAGTAACTTGTCTTTGCTGGAATTCCACCCAGGGCCTGTCCTGTGCCAAAGCCCAGTCTCTTTCCTACATGCATAGCCAGCTTGGTGGCCTCAGAGCTGGGGAGGAGTGCGACAACTTGGTTTTACTGACTCTGCCTTTGGGTGGAGACCCTGACTTTTCCAGGCTGGTTCCCACAGGTTCCTCACCTTGTCCTTTCTTGCTGCACTCCTTCCCGTTGGCCTTCAGGGGGCACCATTGAGCTGCATTCACCAAGTTCGGGCCAAGGGACGGCAGCACGATTTGAAATTACACATGATGAAAGGAAAAAAGGAAACTCCAAGACTGAAATCCCAACTGCTAAGACTTTTGTCTTTATGACAAACAGCTCTTAAAAAACAAAATTGCTCCCCTGCAGGAAGGAGAGGACTTTTCAGAAGTCAAGCTTATCGCAACGTGTGTTGTTTCTTTGCTCCAAGTACTTTAAAAAGAAAAGGATAAAGCTACCTTAACACACGCGCACACGCGCGTGCGCGCGCGCGCGCGCGCGCTCAAGTCTGGAGACAGTGTCAGACTCTGCAGCCTTAACCCTGTCAGGGACGGAGGCTTAGCCTAGCTGATCACTGAGAGAAGAAGGCAAATGTTTGCCTCTGGTTACTGCTCACAGGAATCTAACACGTCAGAGAGAAAGGGAAAATAATTGGGACCAATTTTCCCTTTGCTTATTTTCCAGATCTGAGGTTCCAAACTGGGTGGCTTTCCTGGAAGATTTTAACAGGAAAGGTCCAGATTCTTGGCGCACTGGCCACGCCCACCTGGGGCATTGCCAGTCCCGCGCTCCCACTCCCTGGCCTGACCCCGATGCTGGCCTCTGCCATCAGCCTCTTGGAGACTTGTCAGAGGCCTCACGATTACCCTTTCATCCCATAAACAGTGCACACTCGGGTGGTCGCTATTTTCTCTCCTCCCAGGCATGAGCTAAGTGTGGAAGAGCTCCCGGCTGGAAAGAAAACGCTTCCAATCTCACTGCTCCTGGAGATGAGTGGCAAGCATTTTCTGCCCGTCTCTGAATGGAGAGAACTTCAAGTGCATTAGACCTTTTCATCTCTGCCAGTAATCTCTTGTGACTGACCCTGTTTTACAGGGTACTGACGAGTAAGTTGGCTGGAATGCCACACAGCTACTGCAGGGGCTTTGTGGAGGTTCTAGGTCCTCTGATTTAAGTCCAGGGGTCTTTCAATGACCAGATCTTAGCTGAGGATGGAATCACTCAGCTTCACTGGCTGGCTCTCCTTCCTTTTTGCAGGACTTCCCAGGGCTGTGCTGATAAGATCTCATCCCTCTGCCTCCCCCTGTCCCGACCCCAACTCATGCCTCCCCTCACCCTCCAAAGTTCACCTTTATCCAAAAGTCCTCACTTCCAGCAGAACCATCAGAGCAAATCTGGCGGGGTCTGCAGGGCACTCAGAGGCCCACTCTTCCCGGGGCCCCCATTCTGGTCTCAGCCTTCCTGGCTTCACGTTCACGTCCATCTCCTGCAGCCCTGGCCTGACTTCTGCTCTGTAAAGTGCAAAGGGCTCCATAAGGGATGGATGGCTTAGGCCCTCATGTCTCCGTGTGATTCTAGTTTACAGCACCTTTTCTGACAAAAATTAGGATTGGGAAGTGGAAGGAGAAGGGGCAGGGACCAGGACCCAGAAGGGATGCAGTGCTGCCTGTCGGGGCAGAGCCTGGTCCTGAGTACAGGTTCCGAGACCACTTCAGTGGATTGAACTGTGCTCCAATCCAGGCTGTGTACACTGTTTCAAAACACCCCCGCGCTCCGCACCGACCCACGTCAGCAGAGAAGGGTGGAGATGGAGCTGAATATTAATGATACGCCCCCCCAAGTCCTTTGAAGGCATCGCTGAGGTCTGACAGCTCTGTTTTCTGCCATGCAGTGTGGGCGACCGTGAAACACTCCTCGTGGACACAGAGAATCAGATCTGACTCCAGAAAGCACTTCATTCTGCTCTTGGAAGGGTCAGTCGTGGAAACGGAGCTTTCCTTAAAAAGGACTTCAGAGAGAAAAAAATCTAGCCCTTTAATTTATAAAAAACAAGTCAAGTCCATCTGCTTTTTTGAAATAAACAGAGATACAGTTAATTGTTTACAGGCTTCGGTGGGGTTTTTTCATCTTTCATTTGTTTATTAAACGGTTTCGCCCCTCACCTTCGGGAAGAAATTTCACACTTCCTCTGAATCTGTCATTACTTGGAACGCTGCGCTAAACCTTATCCTCAGTTCAGCTCGAGGAAACCCTTGCAGGAGCTCTCATCAAAGGCAATCTTTAGGACTTCAGTCCTGGAGAACCTTCAAGGGGGGGATGCCTCACCACTTCATCAGTAACCCCAACCCAGAAAGCACACCCTCTGAAGGCCACCGAGGTGTGATCACCTGGGAACCATTTGAGCAATGTCCAGGGTCACTGGGCAACCCCAAACACACACTGTCAGCCTGAAGTGGCTGGTGTGTTTTCTCCCCAGGCAGGAGGCAGCTGGACTCTAACTTCCTACCAACAGCTCACGGTCAGTGACTGGGAGCATTATGGATGGGGCATTACGTGTCAAGCAGCATCTGTCCTCATCCTGGTCTTTCTACCCTTAGCGTTCAGCCAGGGTGGTCCTGATAAG